CAATTTCACTAAAAGACTCAGAAAAACTCTGATGAAGTTGACATCTGACGGAGTTGGGGAAAAAACCAAACTACCTCAATTTATATGATGTTATTCTGAAGGAGGCCATATTGTAGCTCGTCAGGTCCATGAAATCTTTACAGTTTACCAAAATTAAGCTTTTACTTCACAACATTTCATCAAAGTTTTGTAAATTGTCAGTTATGGAGTTGACACATCATTGTTGTGACAAGCAACTTAGTAATAAAACAGAAGAAAAAACTAAAGAATAACTTAAGCTAACCAGAGCTAACTAGCGCTCTTAGCAAAGGAAAAGACGACGTCATGGGGTCCTCAGAAGTTCTGGTGCCCCCAATAATGCCTGATTTTTTTACATTCTTTTTATGTCTGACGGTGTTGACAAAAACTAGGGACAAATTTCAATGGAGTTGGAAAATATATAAAAATTATTTTTAATTCAATTTATTGATACTTTTATAATTATTTATATGACTACTTATAGCTACTTAATTGTCATAATATATAATTTTAGTATTTCTTTAATTGTTTTAAACTATTATAATGTATTGAGTTCTGCTCCTGGACAAGGGAATTTACAGGCATCATCCACCGACTACAATGTTTAAAATAAAAAAAAGCAAACACAAGGAAAATATACATTGTTGTGCTCACATGACCCAGGTTAGTTTAGTCAGATATTTGAAAAAATTATATTTTGTGCAAATTTTATTCAAATTTTGTGCTTTATCCATAGGACCTGTTTTGTCCCTATTCTCAAGAATCACTGCCCTGTATTTTTTGTGTTCTTACTCCCTTCCTTGTGACTTTCTTGTATCTTTCCTTCTTTATGTTCTTCATTTTTTGTCCAACATAAACATGGTAAAAGCAAAGACCATAAGGTGATTTTACCAAGTACACACTTAAAATTTAGGCTTCTAATTTGTTAAATTACATGTACCATTTTTCTTCCGTGCAATGAGGCACTGCCACAGAAAATCCTATTAAAATGCATTGCTCTTTAGTTCTTAGCACAAGAAATGCAAAAGTTGTGTATACTTTAGCAAGGTATTGCTTAGGTTTAGTACCTTTAACAATTTACTAAGAAATAATTAACTTACAGTCATCTGTAAGTGCTACTCTGCTCTAATTGTTTACTTTTGTTTGGACCATGTATGCATAACATCTATTATGCATTAGTCCACGCCTAATGACCACTGGAGGCAGGCACCGGATCCCCTGTTGCCCTTCCTCTGCAAGGTTGGATGGATGAGTAAAACTGTTTGATTAAAAGAATTAGAAAGAACTTGCCGCAGATCTATTTTGGATGGTTGTTATACAACACAGTAATAAAGTAGAAGGTGAAAAAAACATTGCAATTTTCACTTGCACAGGTGAAAGAGGCTATGGAAATCAAAAATAATTTTTTATTTACATAT